AACTGCTGTAAAACTGCATCAGATAAATATTTCATTAATTTTTTTTTTTTTTTGGGCAGAAATCTGTTAATCAACTTCAGTCCTGGTCAAAACTACTAAACTGTTTAGAAAATTACATGATTTTAACTCTTTAATTGCCAAATTCATAAATGATGTCACTGATTTGATGAAAAAATGTCACAAAATGATGTATTTTCAATATAAAAAGTAATTGTGGACTGTTTTTTTTAAATTTTTTTAAAAAACTTTTATCAAAGTCTTGGACATGAGAAACCTAATTGTTTTTGATTAATTTTGATTTTTATTCTCCATATTTCACTGTTGGTGGTTCTTTTTTATTACAAAGTCATGACACTGTACAATCAAATATTATAGTATAACAGCAAATAAAAGTGTGTGTATGTGTGTCTGTGAGTGTGTGAGCTTTGACCTTTAAGTGCTTAAGAAAATTGAAATATGCATCTCAGCTCTCAAAAGTACATGGAGTAATTAAAAACAAAGACTTTTGTGTATTTATGCACCATCAAATGTGGTTATAATAGAAGTTAATTGGGCAAAAAACAGTACCAACAGTAAATTAGGGAGAAAAAAATGAAAATCTAACAATGCATCAAAGCCAATATTGTTATTAAATGTTTACATGTCAAAAACTGTGATGAAAGGTACATAAAAGCCAGTCCACAATTACAGTTTATATTGAAAATACATCATTTTGTTTGTTTTTTTTAAAACAAACAAGACTGTTTTTTAAAGAGTTCAAATCCTGTAATTTTTTACAACATTTAGTAGTTTTTAGGTTGATAAACAGATTTTAGCAAAACAATTTGAAAAAAATATATTTATCGGATGCATTTTTACCGCAGTTTAATTCAGTGGATGTTTTTATACTCAACATAACAAAAGGGTAATAAATTTGATCAGTGCACAAGAGTTAACAAAAATACATTTATATTCATTTCACAGTTTTATATACATACGTGCTCATTGTTTGTTTCACCAGTCTATTGTTTGATTGGTCTTTCTGTTTATCTACAGTATTTATTTTTTCAAGTCAAGACCTTATTTTAACATTTTGTCTTATTTGTAGAGAAAAATTAAATTCATATCAGTTATTTGATTTGATAGCTAATTTTAATATGTACCGTGCAATTCTAATTTATGTGCATAATTACATTTCATGAATGAAAGTCATATCAGTTATTTAATTTGATATCTATTTTTAATATGTACTGTGTTATTTTAATTTATGTGCATTAATTACATTTCAGGAATAACAAAGAAAAATAATACATACAATTTATAGACATATTCTTGGCATTATTTTTATTTCTCTCTTGTTCTTGTTGGGAACAATAAATGAAAACTATTAATAGATTTTTTATTTTATTTTTATTGTGGAATAAATTCAGTAATAAATATACTGCTCTAGTCCTTTACATGATGATTTTTTGATGTGTACAGGCAAAAAAACAACAACAAAAAAAAAACACATTTTTTCCTCGCTCTCGCAAAGGTTTTAATATCGCATGTCTTCCCAACATGTGATACTAATGTAATTGAAAATGATAATGACTGTAATTAAGCCTCTATCATGAGTTTAATCGATCTGGCATTACTGATAGCAGAGATGAATATGAAGGTGGGGGTGTGTGTGTGGGGGTCATGTATATAGTGGTGTCACAGCGGCATAATTACCAAAAAACACTAAAAGGTTCGACAAAAAGCTTCATATTTAATGTTTTGAAAAATCACTTCGGAAATGAAGTCTCTCTCCTTAAGATCATTAGCAGACCATTAGCAATGGCAGCCGAGATCCTTACATCATAGTGCGCTAATTAGGTTAAAATGCTCATGGCAGGACAAGCGTCTAGCTGTGATGTACAGGGGAAACGAAATGGCCGAGGTTAATTATACACATTAATGGGGAATTATTGAGAGCGCTTGGCCTGCCTCTTAAGTTGTGTTTCTTAGCTGAAATGGCTTCCCAAAGTCTCAATAACACGTGTATAACGCCATCATTACCGCGCTTCAGTTTGACGTGTCTTGCCGAGGAAGCGTGCGTGAGTACTGTGACAACAACATGGGGATTGTTGAGAGAAGGTTGAGTTGCGTTGCATAATTGTAGATCATTATTTTGATAGATGTGACCATAAACGTAGATGGCACAAGATGGCTGTTCCACTACGGTACAATATATACGTGAGCGCAGTAAACCCAACTCACTCCTAATCAGTACCTTTCAAATCCGGACTGCTGTAAACCATACAAAGTGTTCTTCTAAATGTTAAGCCTGCTTCCCACCTCTTAGTCAGGATCCCGTTGACAACTTGGAAGAAAGCCCTTCACCACAATCCCTCCCTCCATCCCTTTCCAGGCCTCAGCCCATAACAGAGCCAGAGGGCTCCAATCTGGCTCCTTCTAAGAGTCCTCCAATACCCCAGTATTGATTGTCTCTCCGCCGCAGCCAAACCTCAGCACATAGAGATTCTGCTAAAAGTGCGCTTAGATGCCTCCAAAGACCAGGCACAAGTCCTCAAAAACACCCAGCCGATGGTTCGTCACCGGTGATCTGAGTAGGTTTTTATGACAGGAAAAGTGCACACTTTCAACTTGGAGGAAATGCTGTAGTCAGGGCTTCCATTAACACTACTAAACTACAGAGGCAGTCATTCGAGGCAGTCGTTTTTAAATATTGTAATGTAATAACTTTGTTCAAATAAAACCCATAATGATATAGTACCCTGAATTTCCTAAATGTCTGTATATTTAATTTTAACATTGTTATTTTATTAAAATTACAAAACATTAAAGACTTCCTACTATTTGAGCAATTCAGTGTCCGCTACTTTTTTCCATGGATTTGAATATGCATGCCTCTATTGTTTAACTTTACTTCAGACATGTCTTTCAAAAGCAACATTTTTACTGGGGTTTTCTTCCTCTTGCCGGAGTGTGAGGTACAGAATGCACCTTCACATGCAGTCTAGTAACTTGTACAAAATTGTAGGCTATATTACAAACTGATTGTATTTTTAGGGTAATGACTTTATTAAAAATGATAACAGATAACCAAAGCTCATCTTCAAACTGTCAATAGAAGAGAATAGAAGAGAACTTAAATAAACTAATTACGAGAGGGGCACATGATACGTATAATTGATCCTTGTTGGTCTCTCATCCACAATCACCAATAAGCCAATCAGATTAATCCAAACCTACAATAAATAGCCAGTTTCACTCTAATTCCTTTATCTTTGTTTTTGAAAAAAACCCTATCTATCCACCCCATCTACCCCTTTTACCAGGGGAAGCTTTTGAGAAATACCTGATCTCATACCCCTTTACATGCTCATTGACCAGACGGGAGACCTAGGCTCAATTATCTCCAAGCTCAGGGTTCTCTCCTAGGACAGCATGCCAAAGCTGCTATTACTATCAAACATGTGTGAACTCTTGAAATGTAAATGTAATTTGGTACAGTCTTATATAAACAGTCTTCAAGGGATAGTTCACAAAAATATACAAATCCACTACATTTACTCACCCTCATGTAGGTTTTTCTTAAGAATAAAAATAAATGTTTTATCTTTCTGCATCGTAGCTTAGTACTGTAATCTGAGTGTGTTAGGTAAGAACAGGCTGAGCAGCCTGGTGAAGGTGGCAGGTAAGATCATCAGTTTTAACCAAACTGGTCCAATGGTAATTTATCATAATTATGTTTTAAAGAGAGCTCAGGGTATCCTATGCACCCCGGATCCCCCATTGTACTCTGTTACAGCTACTGCCATCAGGACGTCGTATTAGAGTTCCTATCTGCAGGACAAATAGAACCAGAAATTCTTTTATAATCGTGGCCATTAGGTCATTAAATGAGTCCAGGGGTTAGGGAGATGCACCTACAAAATGATGTCTGGATGTTGTGTGGTAATATTATTTTTAATATTATAATATTAATATATTATAATATTATTAAAGTGTACATGGAACTTCGCCTGTTATGGCACCTTGCTGCAACTTTAGTTTCCCTAAACCAGGGGTGTCAAACTCAATTCTTGGAGGGCCGAAGCCCTGCACAGTTTAGTTCCAACCCTGCTCCAACACACTTACCTGTAGGTTTCAAACAAGCCTAAAGGACTCAATTAGTCTGATCAGGTGTGTTTAATTAGGGTTGGAACTAAACTGTGCAGAGCTGCGGCCCCTTTGGAACTGAGTTTGACACCTGTGCCCTAAACTGTCTGAGACTAAAGAGAAATAGAATTAAGACATGTAGATGCCGACTTTAGTCACATTATTGAAGTGTAGCAAACACTGCAATCAATCTATTATTTTAATGTAGGACTTTTGACGCATTTTGAGACAGAATATTACATACACATACGGCTGTTTGACATATTAACCTACCGAGTCAGTAAAAGACCACAGACACCAGCATCGCAAAATGCAGTGTTATTTTTTTTTTTCATTCATTTTGTGGTACAAGTTTCCTTTAAAACAACACTCTTCCTTCAGTCCTCAGTTTGTCACAGGATCATAATAGAAACATTAAAAAAGTAACTCATGTAAACACCTTAATCATATTATTGGCTTTTTCAGATGAAGGTAAATAATTTGATTACCAATGTCCATGTTAACGTTGTCATTATGTGACAGAAAGTTCACACTCGTCCACAATGGTCATGAACAATTCAGGATCAATCAACAATGGTAATCAACAATGGTCATGATCATGGTCATGATCAATTCATATATATATATATATTTTTTTTTACTCTCAAAACTCCAGTAGCTGTTGACATAATACAGCATGACTAACACAAAAGTCAATGGTTTTAACTCTAAATTTCGTTCCTCTAAATCAAAAAGACAGTTCACTTTTGGGTGAACGGTTTAAGGGCCTCATTACCAAAAAAAAACTAGAAAAAAAATCTAAACTGTATACTATAACTATATTCATTGTTTCAGTATTGCATCAGTAACCAAATGTTTTTTCTGTTTTACAGAGTTTTGACGAAGTCACAAAAAAACCTAATGTCAACGCAGGGCGTCAGCATTGTGTTTGGACCGACCCTCATGTGGCCCGAGTTTGAGTCAGGAAATATGGAGGTCAATATGGTGTATCAGAATCAAATAGTGGAGTGCATTCTCATTGGCTGTGTGGAGATCTTCGGGCCAGCAGACAAGTAAAGATACCTCAGAGACTGCAAAGAGATTGCTATCACGAGTGGGTAAAAAAGAAGAGAAAAAAAATGGTATTTTTACATTGTGCTTAATTATGGGTTGTTGTTGTTCTTAACCTCAGGTAAAGGAACATTTCACACATGTAGTTTAGAAGCAGGGCTTTTTACTTGGGGTTATGTAACCCTGCATGACTGTGTTAGCATGTGAGCTGCATGTACATGCTTTAGACCAGGGGTGCCCAAACTCTGTCCTGGAGGGCCGGTGTCCTGCAAAGCTTAGTTCCAACCCCAATTAAACACACCTGAACCAGCTAATCAAGCTCATTCTAGGTATACTTATAATTTTCAGGCAGGTGTGTTGAAGGAAGTAGGAGCTAAACTAAGCAGGACACCGGCCGTCCAGGACTGAGTTTGGGCACCCCTGCTTTAGACAGTCACAAAAACACTGTATGATGTGTGTTTAAGCATTTGAATGGGGAAAAGTGAAAATTATAGGGTTTATTCTTGCTTTACTTGTTAAAAAGTTACATCAAGGATCAACTTTATAGAATGTGTATATACACCATAAGAGGAAGGTGTTCAACCCTAGTGTTTTATATGAACAGGTCACGTGCTGCATACATCTAGTTAATGATGCTGACACTGCAAGTCTGCAAATACAGTAATGTTTAGGTTCAGTGTAAAATGACACATTATTCCATACCCAGGATTAGTTGTTAAGCCCGGGTAAATGATGTACAGTTTAAAACATAAAGCAAAGTTTAGAAAAACCCAAGGTTTACTGTTTAAGTGTTAAAAGCTCTTTTGTATGCCAGCTACAATGTTACATTTCTTGTTCATTATGTTTTTTTTTTACATATAAAATATTTGACATGTCACATTTATAATTGTAAAAATATTTTAGATATATGTATGTATACATTTATATGTAATTATATTTTTGTATAACGCACAGTGAAGCCATTTTTTGTAAACCATTTTGAGTTTTATGTACTGATATTTTTCAGTGTATAATTTTATTTCAAAATAAATAGGTATTTTTTGTCATCCTCATCCTTGAAACCTCAGATACTAAACATGTGAGAGTTTGTGATTTTTTTCAACCAATTTAGATTTGCTGTCTGTTGCAATGGGTATTAGCTTTATTCTGTGTTCTATTAATGATTGACAGGTGCAAGCATGGTTCTTTTTATTCCAAGTAAAAACATTTTAAGGTGTGCTTTTTACAGTGTAGTTATTAAAATAAATAATGAGCAAAATTAATAATATGTACTAGGGCTGTGCGATTAATAAAAATTAAATCACAACTGTGATTAGAAACATTGCAGTTAGCTAATTGCAGGAGGCTACAATATGCCACTTCAATTGGCTAGTAAGATATAATACAAATGAGTGTCTTGCTAAAAAGTCAACTGAAAGTATTGCCAGTGACACTCAATCTAGTAGCAAACAACAGCAAAGTACAATTTTAGAGCCATGTTAGATGCTGAGTGTTCTGTATTTTATAATTATTATTTTTTGTTTGCATAATGAGCTACATTTTCTCCCTATTTTGAGTTCAACTTGTTTACAGAAAGGTAGGAACATTTTATTTGTGTTTACTGTTTGCTCTAGAGAAAAATGAGAGTTTCAATTCTGAATATTTAAAAATAAATTGAATAAATGTTTAAGTTAATATCCTTTTAGTTCCTTTTTCACTCACTACATTTTAGCAGTAAGAAGCTACCATACAGATTACTTAGCTGAAGCTTGACTACAAAATTAAATCGCAAATCAAATCAAAATCGTAATATCTGTCTACTAAACTAAAAAAATCACCAGTAGATATGCACAGGCCTAATTTGTACAGAACAGAGGTTACTTGGTTGTAATTACAATAAATAATTCACTAATAATATTATAGTGATTACACCTGCTCTCAAAAAATGATTTACTGTATGTTGGTTGTTTAAATGACTTATTTACAATGAGCTGAACCAACACAAATATTGTGTGGTTTTGGGACAACTGAATAGTTGTATATTTAATCCACTTAAATTTGCCAAAACAATTAACTTAATCGATTTGTGTTGGGACAACATGAAGGAATTATGTGGATTACAGTATTACAGTGTGTAATAACAATTGTAAAAAATAAAGCACTTTTTTTTTTTTACCCCTATTTCACATGTGCATACTAAGAAGAAGGTCATTACATAACCTAACCTTAACCCATGTACTTAGGTTTTATGACCATGCACTCTCTTTCATGAGTACACTGGACGTACAAATACAAAAAAATGAAGTGTAGTGGATTTTTCCACCAATCCCTCCAAAAAAGTTGTGCCTTTAAATATATTTTATGCCATGGAAAATATATTATATATAATATATTATAATATACATAAGAACATGGAGGACCCCCAACCTAAGCTTTGCAAAGAAATGGCAGGGTAGTCATTCAGTTTGATGAAATGCAAATAATACATTATAAAAATGTAAATAAATAAATACAATAAAATTATGTATACATGCTGTAACAAAGTGCAACCACCAAGTACTTTTTCATTAAAAAAGTACAAAAAAATAATAATAAATCCCTTTCAAGCATATTTTATATCATGGAAAATCAAAATCAAAAATACAATTTTTATCAAGCACATGAACAGAATGGCAGGGAAATGATTAATATGTAATAAAAAATAGAGAATAAATTAAAATAGAAAATATAATTAAGTATATATATACTGTTTTAAAAAAATGCAACTATAAAATGAAGCAATACTGTACAATTTGTTTTTGCTTAAAATCGAAAATGCAAATAAATAAATAAATAAAATAAATGCCTTTGAAGCATACATTCAGTGTGACGCTTGGCATCCTCCTCCATCAGCTCTACAAGTCGCTCTATGGGCTCTTTGGTTGTCAGATAATGTACAGCACCATCACATCGGTTTCTAATCAAACTGCCAAAGTCCTCTCCAATTCTCCAACAGCAGCGTCTTTTTATTTGCTCGCCGCAGGCCAGAGCTGAGACTGTCTGCATGGAATGTGTTTTTAATTCCATCCCAGAGATAAGAGAGAGTCTGTAATTACGGGAAGAGCCATCCCTCTTTGTAGCATTTTTCCCTGCATCGGATCCCTCATAGTTTGGCATCTCCAGCAGTAATGATGAAGGGGAACTGGAGGAACAGGAGGGCGACATAAACCAGATTTGCGGGTTGCGTCTCTCTAAATCTCCACTGAAAATAACGCAGCGAAATGAGATGCAACTTTTAGTGACCTCTCTGGCACAGACTTTCACCAGTTCGGCAGGCCACCAAGACCTTCATCTCACAACCTTTGAAAAGAAACACAGAGCTGTTTTTTTTTTTTTTTTTCACAGAATGTTTATAGAAAGCTTGGATCTTGTATTGAATGTGTCATTAAATTGTGACACCTAAAAAAGTTTTGCATGCCAAAGCAGGCTCGGTTGATTTAATGCCGGACAACAAACTCTAAAAATATATTTCAAGGGAAATTCAGCCTAGAAGATCTACGGAACAAGCAGAATGCTTAAATAAATAAATAAAATATAAAATCAAAGCTACAATACTGTATATACTGTTAAAAACAAAGCATGTCTTTTATCAACGAAATTAACTGAGGATTATATATGTACTGTATATTTTCTATATGCAGTATATATATATATGTATACTACAGATGGATGGATGGATGGATGGATGGATGGATGGATGGATGGATGGATGGATGGATGGATGAATGGATTGATGGATGGATAGATAGATTCCATATTTTTTATATTGTGTCTTTAAAAAGAGGAAACACATTTGTAAAATGTGGTAATCAGGGTTGATTAAGTTACTGCAAAAAAGTTACTTCGAAAAATTTTAAATAATTTATCTGAAAAGTAAATTAGTTACGCAATATTAAAATACTAGAGTAAATTTTAATAAACATATAGTCTTTAAACTCTTAGTTCTTAAAAGTTGAATAACAAAAACTTAATATAAAATTAAAAAATAACACTTGAAATGCAAACAAAATACACACTGTAAAAACATTCTATGGTCAATTGGTCCTGATAGCACATGTTTCAGGACATTGTAACTTACTAAATTAATCATGCTCTAACTTAATTTTATAAGTTACGCAAGCTGTTTTAAGTGAGTTTAACATAATATAAGTTTAATAGACTCATAAGGTTAATAGGGTATATGCAGAGGCATGCAGAAGGACTTTTAATTTGTCAGTAACCTAAATAAAATGCTTCCTGTGAACTGTATGCTGTTACAAAACTGGCATTTGGGGTCTATTTTCTTTAAAAATCAATGATCTTTGGATAATGGTCATTTAACATTCTTTAAAACATTGTTAAAATATCTGAGTTTATAGCTAAAATTATGATGAACTATTTTCTCAATTCATTGTTTTTATGCAGTTGTCTCAAATGATAAATATTCTTTAGTAAAAAAATATATATATTATTTTGCAATAAAAGTTATATGATTAATCAGCTTTTCTGAATTGATTTACACAGAATTGTTAAATGTATGTACAGTATTTAAAGGGGCAGGAGGTTGTTGTCTTCAGAAACAATTTTTGTTGTGCTGGTTGAAAGTCTCTTCACATTCCAATAGTACTGATTAAAGTAAACATATTTATATAATTTAATATTATGGGTAAGGCATAAGACCAATTAAAATTACTCGGTCTGATAGTTAACATAATTCTGATAAGTTGCCCAAATTGTCTGTCAAAAAATGTAGATTACATCTGCGCACCCCTGTTCACGCAGACAGATCTGTGCACACCACAGAGTGACTGCAGTAAAAACAAATGCTGAATTAAAATATTTTAAAATAGTGAATCAAAAGTGGAGTTAATTTTGCATGCTCAAGGAAGGATGAGGCCTTGGCTGAAGTACTGTATTTCTTTTAGACAGGTAATGTTCTTAAACTATTTTAGTCATGATGAATGTGTTATTTTACGAATGGGCTCTAAGAACAGAAGTGTTGTTCAGCCAATGAAATCGCTTGGCGAAAAATTGATGTGACTATTTTCAATTTCATAAGTTACCTTTTACAGCATTGATAGTGTAATTTAATCAAAATAGTCACTTAATTAGACTTAAGCATTTAATTGCAATCTTTGTGAGAAGCAGCAAGTGTAATGTAAAAAGATGACAAGATATTTCTATTTTTAGCACTCATTTTTTTCAGATTTTTATTTAGTTTAATAACAAAGTATAGCACTATCAAGCCTAGCCTGCTTTACTGAGGTGAAGTTGGTTTTATATTCACGTTGGTTAATTTTTGAACAATGACAACCTATGATGTGCTCCCTATATTGTTTAACATGCTACTACGAATATTGGGTCTGAAATAGCATGCAAGTATGACTTAGTAATAAGTGTAATTCCTGCATGCCACCGGCCAACCACTAAGCATTCAGTAGTCGCTTTAGGAAAAAGCGCATGAGAGAGAGACTAGCGATCCTTGAATTCATGAAAAATTGCAGATTATGACAAGTTTTGCCTGCAACACAACTGAAAATGTGCTAGATAAAATACAGTTTTTCGTTCAGAATTGTAGTTTTATAAAGTACTATAGCTTTGGTTGGCAACGGAGGGACTGTGTTTTCAAAGCTATTATGCTAAAATTAGCAATTTGGCAGATCACCTGCACCTTTTAGGCAAGTATACTGTACGCAACCATAACTAAATTAGCCAAGAATGAAAAATAATCCCTTACTTAATACTTTCCCACTGACAAAAAAAAAAAAGAAATTAGAGTAACTATGCAACACAGGTGGTAAGGAATTTAAACACTTGAAACCTTTGTTAAACCAGCATAAGAGAGTGGCTATTTAAACCTATAATCTAATTATAACAAGTGTATAATGTGTGCGCATGTGCTAATAAAATGTATAAATACTACATATGGTATTCAATGGAGAAACAAAAATACAAGCATTGTGCATAAAATAGCAATAATAATAATAATGAGACTATTTAATAATGACTCTCTGAGGGTGTTGGTCAAACGCAGTGAGTGAAGATGCTCTTCAGC